TTTTTTGTAAGATGAAGCATTCGTAAGTAGAGGTACCACTGTATTAATAATATTTAATATAAGTAATCATCAATATTATTAATTAATTAATATTAATAATCTACAGCCCAAAGAAATTTAGCCTATTTTAATTTTGGCCCCTTCCTAGTGCCAAGTTGTGCAGGTTTGCCCTAAGCGGTTTACAGTGTGTAACCTAATTGTCTCCAACAAGCTGGGTACTCATTTTAGTGACCTCAGACGGATGCAAGGCTGAGTCGACTCTGAGCTCCTGACTGGTATTGAACTCACAACCTTGTGATTTGTGATTGAGTGGCTCCAGTACAGGCATTTAACCACTGAGCCACCAGGGCTCCTCACAGTGCCACCAGGGCATTGTATGTAATGCTATCTTTGTTCCACATTGTCTCATTTTAAAAATGGTACATATCTTCTTAAATAATGAAGCTAATGCATGGAGGGGATAGATAACCAGTGATAGAGAGTAATTCCTTTATTTTTTCCAACATGTTTTATCTGGTTTCCACTAAATTGAATTCTATAAATATAATGAGGAAGACCATGCAAAGCAAATTTAACTGTTGATTGGTAAACACACCTTAAAACAAATTGTAGCTGTTAGGCCTAATGTTTCAGAAGTGGAATCAAATATTTTCACACCACTTCAAGAGAAGTAGCAGTACGTTATTTCTCTTCTCTTTCTGTCATTGCTCTGAAGAGCCAGGTGATCACACCAAATAAATTGTTTTGAAGAGAGAAACTGGTCTCTTCTTAGCCAGCAGTACAATGGTGTTCACCGTGTCTGAAGACAAGCAACTTAGGAAGCCCATCATTTTTCTGAATTCAACCTGAGTAATAGCAGAATAGTAATAATATTGTTATTAACTGCCTTTGTGTTGATCTCGACCCATGGCAACCCTATGGATGAGACATCTCCAGGCCCCCCCTGTACTCTACGGCTCTGCCCAGCTCCTGCAAACTCATATTTGTAGTCTCTTTAATGAAGTCCATCCATCTAGAATGTGGGCTTCCTCTCTTTCTACTTTCCTCCACCTCTCCTAACATTATTGTCCAGCGATTCATGCCTTCTCATGATGTGTGTAAAGTATGACAGTCTAAGTATTGTCATCTTGGCTTCTAGGGATATTTCTGGCTTGATCTGCTCTAGGATCCATTTGTTTGTCCTTTTGGCTGTCCATGGAATCCTCAGCGGTCTTTTCCAGCACCACATCTCAAATGTGTTGTTTTTCCCCCTATCTTCTTTCTTGACTGTCCAGCTCTAACATCCATACATGGTAATAGGGAATACAGTGGCTTGTATGATTCTAACTTTTGTGCTGAGTAGTATGTCTTTGCATTTTAGGATAGCCTGCTATTTTTATCTAATTCTCCCCATGCTAGATGGTGAAAGACAGGGAGCATTCTCCAAATTACAGTAGCCCCTCCCAATTTGTGAGGGATCTGTTCTGGACCTCCCC